AGCATGCGGCCTGCTTCTCCCCACGTTACGACCGGGAGATCTCCTCAGGCGACGGCCTTCACAGGAGGTTATTTTGGTCGTTGTAATATCTCTCGGACTGTCAATGTTGTTGAAGATTCGTAAAAGTGTCAAAATTGAAAAAAGAACTGTCCGTGATGTGTCTACCCGTAACTCGGATGAAGAGCTGCTTTTTAGGTATCTAAGAAGTAGCAACTGTCTAACTGTGAGCTGCAATCTCAATTCTGAGCCACGTGTTGCTGGTCCGGGTCTTTTGTCTTTGTATAGCACCTTTTGTATTTTCTAATACGAAAGCTTTTTGTTCTCGCAACTGGTTCTGGTTTTCATCACTATATTATTTAGTACTACGAAAAACAAGTGAGGAGCAACGTCCCTATATAGCGCTCATAATATCTTCTGTGGTTAAGAAGATTTTTCTTTCCTTTTTTTAAATTTCATGACACTCGCGAATGTTGATTTGGCTTTGCTTACGCTCTTGCTGTCTGTTCACCATGCGCGGCACGTAAGTCAAAAAAAAAAAGGCTTCCTTTGTATGCTCCTGACTGAAGTCACTACAGACAGGAATTGTGCTCCTGGCTAAAGGTGTACCAGGTAGCACTACGTCACTTATTCGCGACTCTGTTACGTGAGTGAAGTTTTCTCGTTCAAAATCAAAACGCATGCGAATCTTGCATTTGTCGCATTACTACATCAAGCACGCGCCCCATGATAACACGCACAGGACTGCCGTGCTTCTGCTTGCTGGTAGTCGTTACTCCGAAGGTGCGTGCGATACATAGGTCGGAGAAAGAAACTAAGATGAGGCTGATGGTCTGCGTTGGTTTGGCGATGGGTGCAGCAGCATCCATCTACTTCTTGCCCTTCTTGCCCTTTTCGCCGCCCAATATCTTGACGCTAGCGGCGTCCTCGGCTTGCCCATCTGCATCGGTTTCAACTTGAGGCCACGCCTGAAGTGCTTACGGTCTGGATTTGCGTGGACCACGCGGGCCAGACCCATCGCCTTGCTATGCGATTCGCCAAGGTGAAACACGATCTGCATCCAGTTGCTACTTTTCCAGCTGATGCACGCAACAGGCTCCGGATGGCGTAGCTCTTACTCTTTATCAATTTGAGTTTTCGCTTCCCAACATGCAGCGTGCCCGAAATGTGAAGAAAAGAAATAGCAATAGCATGCACTTTACCAGGATTGGATGGCACAGCTTGGGCACGACGCCCCCCTTTTTTTTTCATTGTGTTTTTCTTTTTTTTATGTGTCTATCCCTAACAAGTAGCGAAAACTTGGGATACCATGCAGGACTGCAGCAACAACTTTCTTCAATTGAGAGCCTTTTCGACCAGCTCTTGACAGTGTGTAATCATGCACCGCGAAATTTAGATACTGATACAGGTTTTTCTGGAGGACCATCATACAAATAGAGCTTGCAGCGCCATGATTACTATTTACATTCACGTCGCTGGTGAGAGTGTAGCTTTCCTCTTGATGATCATGATTTCACGTCGCCAAGAATGCGTACTGTTGCGGGGCGCCGGCGTCCTCTCCGGGAAATCTCAAATCCCGCTGGTACGCGGCCTGGATCAGCGTCAGGGTAGCCACCTGAGATTCCGGATGCCGGTACAACAGCAATGGCTGCACTTCGCGCAGGTTCTCCAGGAGGCCAGCTATTTCGGTCTCACTTATTTGCTGAAGTCGAGGGACGACTCTCTCCGGATGGGCGAGAAATTCGGCTTCGGGGATGACAACGGCCCAACTGGTAACTTTTTTGGTCGATGGAAACAGCAGGGCGGTCGGGCCAGCCACGCGGTTGTCCTCGGAAAACGCCACACCGATATGAGGTAGCGCGTCACTAATGAGGACGGGAATACAGGAGGACGCAATCGCGTGAAAGAGCGCGTGCGTGCTTGGAATGTTACTGAAAAGGCGCCGGGGGGGCCCTGCCTGTTTCACACTCACTTTTTCAAAACTTGCAGAAAATTTTCCGCGATCTTCTTCTTCTCAGGGGCCCTGGTTTACGCCTTTACCGAATCTGAGGGCCTCTCTCAGATTCGGTAAAGGCGTAAACCAGGGCCCCTGAGAAGAAGGACCCTGTGGACCAGGACCCCTACACCGATCAGTGCCCAATGCATGCGCGCGACGCTATTGCGCCCGCGCAGAAGAGCAGGCACCCTCCCGGTCGACCTCTTGCAACCTCCCGCGGCCACGCGGCGGCACCCAAGGCCCTCCCGAGTGGCAGAAAGAGGGCGCCACCGAACCCCATGCGCGCGACGCCACGCTCCGGCCCCCCTTGGCAAAGCCGCGCCGGGCGCTGCGCGAAAGTAAGCATCTTGCCGCAGCCTTGCCCGCGCGGCGGTATGATCCGCCACAGACACTACCAACAAGGGCGCGGCCACTGATGGTCTCGGGCCAGAGTGCGCACACTTGCGGGCACTGTTCAAAAATGCCGACCGCCCTGGCCGGCTGGGCGGCGCCATGCCACGGCGTGCACCCACGTACGAGGCTGAAGAGCGGCCGACCTTGGCCGTTTTCAAAAAGACCGCGCCCGGCCGGGGGGGGCGAAGCGGCGGGCGATCTGGCCAGAGGCTGGGGCGAGAGTGAGATCACAGACTGACGCCCGGCCGCCAAAGTCACGCGCTCGGAAAAATGCGTCAGAGCGTCGAGCGCACGAGCGACGAGGAGAAACCGGCACAAGGCGCACACCTTCCAAAGACCTACGCCAAGGCGCCTGGCGTCAAATTTCTGGCCTTGAAGTCGCCCGAAAGGGGCCTACTTATGAACCTCCGACGGACAAAGAAAAAATCAGCGGCCGCGAGCACGACGCTTCTCCAGGCGAGCGAGTAACTACTGCTGTGCGTACTAATTGAGTCCCTGAGATGAAGGGGCGTCTCAACAAATTCCCACCAGAACTACACAAAAAAGCGCCCGTCCGCTTTGATGTTGAACAACCAGACCTGGGGAGTTGCCGTGGAGAGAAAGAACCCAGGCGCTTCTTCTCCTTGACCTTGGCTTCCGGCAGGCATAGCACTGCGCTGCCCCCTGCTCTCCATTCGTGTTTATCTTGCCACCCTGCGCGCAGCCACAAGGCCCAAAAAAAGCCTTCCGCGCTTGCCATTCCTTGATGTGTCCAACAGATGTCCTCAAAACTAACAGGCCCTGAGCAAGCCTCCTCTGCTCTCCCTTCCTGTCAACACCGCCGCAGCCGAGGCTTTACCTCCTTTAGCGATGCCACACAGACGCCACCGGGATGAAGCACTAGTAGAAAGCGCGAACTTATGCCCAACGCCGCCCCGTGGCCTTGCCTTTAAGCCCTTGCCTGTACCCTCTAAGCCCTTGAGCTTGCTCATCCTTGTGGATTTGTCCTCGCCACGCTTTCTTGCCTTTCTTTTGCGATCTTCTTTGTTTCGCTAATGTTTTCATGTGGTTTTGATTTTGATTTGCGTGATCACCTTCCTAGGAGCCTGCTGGATCGGAGACGCGAACTACCTACAGCAGAGGACTTCGACACCTGACAAAGAGTCGCCAGGCAATTGCGTGCCCGCTTCTTTTATCCAGGCAAGAACACCCATCCCCATCCAATTTGTCATGCAAAACATGCGCAAAGTCCACTGCTTGCCATGCAAAAAATGGATGGGGGTGGGTGTCTTTTCCTCAATATCTTTTGGCGAGCGAGTGCCTGATCTTTAGCGTACTATCTACGTCCCTGCTTGTACTAAGTGGCTGGCGCCTAGTGTCTCAACCAATCGCCGCCGGAGCTTGACGAAACGCCGCCCGTTTTAGTGGTGAACGGCCAAACTCGGGGAGTTACCGGGGAGAACGAGGAAAGCTGCCGGCGCCTTCAATCAGCCCTGGCTTCACAAAGGCGCAATGCTGCAACCTCATCCGTACTGCACCGATCAACCTCCACACAGCCACAACGTCCAAGACAAGCCGCCTCCGCTTGCCCTTCCTTGCGTCAGCACAGGCGCCACAGAAACAAAGTCCAGGTCGTAAGCAAGACGCCTCTTCTTGCACTTCCTGCCTGTGCCACCTGCGCCGAAGCTCTGGTAGCGGTACGCGAACGCCACCGGGAAACGCAAGAAAGCACGGGGCTACATCCTGCATCTCCCAGTTGCCTCCTTAAAGCCCTTGACCCCAGCCTGAGACCCCTGCTCCTCCGACCTAGACTAAAAAAAAA